GGGCGATTAGATTAGTCCTCTAACATTGGTCGAGGTTCACGTAAGTTGACCCGACTACTTGAGTTTATAAAAGAAAAATACTCTACATACGTAGATCTACAAGTATTAGCTAATGACGTGGCACTAATTTGGATTAATTTTGAAAATAGGTGGCCCCCAGTAATTTATGGAGCATACCTAATTTGGGAGAAATTATTCGTTGCCTCAAAGGCAACACGTGGCCGTGCCTGGGCACATCCGAGCCGTCCGTTTGGTACCCGGACGGCTCGGATTTAGTGAGAGAAACAGAGAGAGAAAGGGGAGAGAGAAAGGAGGAGAGAGGGTGTTTTAATCCGAGCCGTCCGGGTACCGAACGGACGGCTCGGATGTGCCCAGGCACGGCCACGTGTCCCTGCCTTTGGGGCAAGGAATAATTTCTCCTAATTTGGTCTAATTCTGAAAATAGGTGGCCCACACCCGGGCTCCAGTTACCTTTTGAAAACATTATCCAAATGTCAATGTCAGGTTCTACCATTCTTTTTCTCCATGCACAAAAATGGAAGTTTGAAACATTACATAGATGCTACTTGCACAGTAGATCTGTGCACATATTGTGCACATCAGATTTATGTATATATTGTGCACAAATTGCGTTGTGGGACTCATTAAAGGTTCTATACAAATAATTCAATCCGTTAATTATGTTTAAAATGTTTTTTTAAGGGCTTCCGCTAAAAATTAGCTTAATCCGATAACTATAAGTACTTAATCTAATCATCTAACTTTTTATTCCGGTTTTTAGAGAATAAAAAGTTAGACAATTAGATTAATAAGTACTTATAGGTGTTGGATCGAGCTAATTTTTTGCGGGGATATTTTAAAAAATGTTTTAAACATAATGAACGGCTCGGATTATTTGTATGGAATACTTAGTGGGTTCCACAACACGATCTGTGCACAGATCTGCTGTGCAAATAGACTTTCTGGAAACATTACGTGGCAATTCAATTAATGCCGGATGTTGTAGTATAATGTGACAGCACACTTAACATCTACCAATACAGGAGGATGTTCCTTTCAAAAGAGCAAAATGGAGGAACGAGGTATATTCGTCTTAGTGGGTGTTCACACCAATTTTTTTAGTGGACAATTTTTGCCGCAATGCATATCGTTCACATTAATCAACAAATTCTCGTATTTTAGCATATTGTTTACACTAATCAACAAGTTTTCACATTAAGAGTTAGCATGTCAGATGGCGCGGGGTGTATAATTAATAAATTGATATACAAAAGTCAGCTTTTGAGTTTTTTCTTTAGATATTTTTCCTTAAAAAATTTGAGTAAAAGTAAAAACTTTTTACTTTTCTGGTTCTTCTAGTTGAGACGAATTAATAATACACAAAAGTTTGACGTAAAACTAACAAATGCAAAAAAAAATAAAAAATTGAATAAGAGCAAAACGAGAAAATATTATCTACAACTCGTAGTTTAACGAAGATGAGACCTAACTAGTTACGGCCGTCAATTATCCTGCTAACAAACCGGATGTTCCAATCTCCTGTGTTCCACTAAACTTTTTATAAAAGTTATAGTTTTGTCCTTATTTGAATTTTTTTTCCCGTGTTTGTTAGTTTTACGCTAAACTTTTGTAACTTATTGATTCGTCTCGACGAGACGAATTGGAAAACTAATTTTTTTACTTTTACCGAATATTTTGGGAAATAATCACTTTTAAGTAAAAAAAGCCAACTTTTTTTTTTCCTTTCTAAAAAGTAGTTATTTTCCCGACATGTCTACGAATTGGAAAACCCAAAAAGTGAGGCACAAAACTAACAAATGCGAAAAAAAAATTAAACAAGGACAAAACCAGCTTTTTTTCCTTTCTAAAAAGTGGTTACTTTTCTGATATGTCTACGAATTAGAAAACCCAAAAAGTGAGACACAAAACTAACAAATGCGAAAAAAATTTAAATAAAGATAAGACCAAAAAAAAGTGAAAAAATTTAAATAAAGATAAAACCAAAAAAAAAAAAGTGAAAAAAATAGAAAAAGTTGTTATTAGTGGAACGGTATCGGACATTCTTCATCACGAAAATTAGGATGAAATAGACGAGTCAATTTTTTCGTTGTTGAGCAAAAATGATACTTACACAATAATCTAAACACAACAACTTACACAACCTTTCACATACATGTGGGCTCCACACACACTATTATGTGTGGATCCCACATGCATGTGAAAGATTGTGTAAATTATTGTGTTTGAATCGTTGTGTAAGTAGCATTGTCCTTGAGACCATCCCTGAATGAATGAGCTCAAAAGCCCACGTGATGGGGGTCCTGGACTGAATCCAGAGGCTGGACAGTCCAGTACATGTGGTGGACCGAAGGCAAGAGTGACAAGACTCTCTCTCTTTTGATAATCTTCAAATATTGTATATTTAGGGGTGTTCTATTTTCTCCAAAAAAATAATTTATGAAAAAAAAGATAATTTTAAACTAAAAAATTATGTATTTACGCAAATAATTTTTTTACCAATATGGATCTTGTTTGATAAATCTCATTAAGATCTTTTAAACGGTGTAAAAAAATTGAAAAAACATTTTTCATTTCATTATATTTGAATTTGAAATTACCTTCTTTTGAAAAAAAAAAAAGTACTTTTTTACTAAAAGTGTAACACCACCTCACTATACAGTCCCTTCTCCTAAAGGCATCTGCCCCAAGCAAAGGCGGACCTTCCATTTTTTGATGGAATTTCAATGTGATCAAAAAATAATTTTAAATATTCTCGTGAGACGTCAGCAAAAAACAATTTACCGGGAAGGGCTTCATCCAAACAGTTTTTATTGAACAGTTCAAAAAAAACTGCTCAAATGAAGCCCTTCCGGGTCTTTTTCTTTTTGGTGATTTTTTTGAGAGAACCCTTAAAATCATGTTTTAAACACATTGAGCGGCTTGGATCATCGAAATTCAATCGGAAAAGGGAACGTTCACATTGTAACACAGTGCGAACGCCCTGAAGAGAAGTTTTGTGCACTAATATACATTTTGACATGTAAATTTAGACGTCGTTCCACTTAAAAAGTTAGAATCACGTCTTGTATACGAGTTTTGCCGCCTTCTCAATAGGAAGAGATATTCCACCGCACAAAAAATGAGGTTCGCTCCGTTTCGCTTTCTTTTTAAAATTTTTTATTTTTTAAAAAAGAAAGAAATTTCAAGTTTAAATATAATAATAATATAAAAATTTAAAATTTTTTTTTTTTGCACCGTTATAAAAGATTTCAATTAGATCTATCAAATAAGATTCACATTGGTAGAATAATTATTTACGTAAACACATGATTTTTGAGCTTGAAATTATCTTCTTTTTCTAAAAGTTTCTTTTCGGAGAAAATGGAACCACATCTTATTTATTTAATTGCCAATAAAAATGAAGGATCCCCTAGTCTATAACATTAACCAATTATACATGAATTGAGTATTAGATAGGGAATGTTCCTGGGCACACTGTCGTTAATTTTTTTAGAAAGAGATGAATGTTTTTAAAGAGAAGCTAGATGACTCGATTGGATCGAATTACTGAGGTCAGAGAAACACAACGAAGAGTCTAGGGGCAATAAACCAGCATTGTCTCTATAGCCAATGAGTACAAATTTACAACTTACGTCAGAGAGAGGAAATTGATTTCTACGCTCTTTTAATTCATGCAAACACTTCTTTTTTAATCTTTTGATTGGTGATTTTACGAAGCAGTGCCCGCATGCGTACCTTTTTTAGAAATTTCAGAAACTGTTTCGTGAATTCACTAGCTAAGCGTCGAAAAAAGGAGTGTTTTACATCAATTAGAGAGTGTCGAGATCAATTTCCAACAAATACTGTGAAAATAGTGCTCCTTTCAAATTGTAATAAAGTTGACCAGTATTTTTGCAATTGAGATTTTGTCACTATCCTATTTGTTAACGTCACTCCCATTCTTGTCTTTATTAGGTAAATTTATTAAAACACCCTTGCACTTTATTTTATTATATTAAGTGAATTTATTAAAACACCCTTACACTTTATGATACCAAATAAAATGCAAGGGTGTTTTAATAAATTCACCTATTAAAAACAAGAAGGAGAGTGAAGTTAACAAACAGTGGAGTGATAAAATCAGCTGCTAGTATTTTTTTTTAGTAGTTTTCCCCCTTGTGTGCGTAGATCAGCACAAATGAGGTAAACTGGCCATCATCCAAAAAGGCCCACGTGATGGGCCCAGAAACCAGGGCCGGACAGTCCAGTCCAGTCCATGCAGTGGAGTGGACCGAAGCGAAGACTCTCTCTTTCTCTCTCTCAGCTGAGTTCTTTGTGCGCGCTCTCTCTCTCTCTCCACTTCGCCGGTGAATTCCGCTCTCCGCCGTAACTCGATTCCGTCGCCCACAGCTTGAAGTTGCAGCAGCATCTAAGTATCTTCTCAACTAGGGTTTAGTCACAAGCAGATCCGTTCCTGTTCCTCTACTGCGGGAGAACATGTCCGTTCAGTACCCGATCCGTTTCGGTCACCACGCACATCGTCTCTTCCCTCTCTTGTTTCTATTTGTTCTGGTAATCCTTATCTCCCTCTCTAATGTCGGGTTTAGGGTTTTGCCGAGGGGTTTATAAAATTACGCTGAAGATCATTTTCCCTGATCAGTGAAAGTGATTGACTTATGGTTATTAAATCATAATTCCGCACGGCCACTCTTGGTATAATTTTTACCTTGTGTTGGATGAAACAAAAGAGAGACTGCTAAGAAAATCTGGTGAAGTACTCATAGACACAGACATTGACTCTTCTATATTCTTTTCTGTTTCTGTGATTGGATTATCATGTTGTGTGTTTTTTCCCCGTTTTCCTTTTGTTTTTAAAACTCAGGCGTTCGGGCTAGCTTACGCGCACCTCGACTAATGCTGTGGTCCAATCCCACCGCCCAATTGCGGAAAGCCCAATTTGAGATCGGAGCAAAGCTTCGTATGACTTGCCCCTAAGGAGTTGATAGCATCTGGGAGGTTTCAAACCCGAGACCTTAGGAGGGAGCAAACCCTAAGTCCCAAGCCTTAACCACTAGGCCAACCCCTTGGGTTTTTCCCCCTGTTTTTCTGAGTCCCTTTTTCTTTTGTTTAAACACACGAGAGGTAGAGGTATAATCCGCTTGTGTTGTTACATGTTGTCCGTATAAAGGTGAAGAGGAGGAAGGGTACGCGGATATTTTTTTTGGTCAAACGGAAAGGAATGGTACGCCGATTTGGATTAGGTAGTGGCGCTATTTGATGGGAGTTCATTTGTCTTGTTACATGTTGCACGTAAAAAGGTGAAGAGGAAGGTTACACGGATTTGGATTAGGGGTAGCGCTATTCGATAGGAGTCCACTTGTGTTGTTGCATGTTGTCCGTAAAAAGATGAAGAAGAAGCCTAAGTGGATTTGGATTAGGGAGTGGCACTGTTCGAGAGGAGTCCGCTTGTGTTGTAACATGTTGTCCGTAAAAAGGCGAGGAGGAAGGGTACGCGGATTTGGATTAGGGAGTGGCGCTATTCGATAGGAGTGCACTTGTGCTGTTGCATTGTCCATAAAATGGCTAAGAGGAAGGTTACATGTGATTTTTACATAATTTGTATGAAATATAATGTTATCCAAATACCAATAGGTGCCCAATACAAGTAAATTAATGTGATAAAAGGCTTGAAACTAGGGTGGGGGTAGCACCTATCCCATCCCCCCACCATGTCGTTCCGCCACTGGTCAATAAGTAGCTTGGCGTGTCCACTACAAGTCCAGTTACCCTGTCGAGTCTTCTAAAGGATTCTAATCAATTATAATTTTTTAGTGCTTTTGTTCTGTAGATAGATCATAGAGGGGAAAGTGATTTACTAATTGTTTGAATAATTTTTATTAGTTCTTAGCAGCCTTGTCACATGGATCTCCGATTGGAAATCGAAAAAGTGGGAGGTCATCAGTGTTTTCTTTGTTTAATCTCAAAGAGAAGAGTAAGTTCTGGAGTGAGGCTGTTATACGCAGTGGTAAGTCTAAATCTTAGTTATTCCAGTGACTATGTTTTGGTTGCCTTGTCAGATTTACCAAGCAGTGCACTTCCTTAGTATCTTTGTTGTCACACTATCTATAAATGCCTACAGATTTTGATGACTTGAAGTCTTCCATCCCTAGTAGGGCAAGAGCTGGCAATTACACCAAGGCAGGTACTTGGATGTGTATTACCACTAAGCTTTTCCATGCATTTATGTTACCATGGTTTTATTACACTCCTCCATTTCCAATCCCAATGCAACAATTTCAGTTTTCTAAGAAAAGTAGAGCACCAGATAAGTTGCATTTCCAAACTTGACCTTCCGGACGCTCTGCATATGTATATATGTCAATCTATCGACTTTGTATCATGGAATCAGGTATGAGTATAGGATGTTCTTTCAAAATTGTTTAACTAGCAGGGCCTTCGTGAAACGAGCAATATCCTGAAGAACTAAACTAGCCCCCCTGACACTTTGGTGCTGAAACTTTGTCCCAACTCCCAAGAGCCGCTTGTGGATTTTGGTTCTTTGCTGTGTTGGTTCATTAAATTTGATCCTCTTTATTCTTCTTATTTTCATTTAGAAAAGCTGAGGATAATGTTGTTGGAGGCATGAATTCTAGTTGAAGAAGTAAAGAGACATTCTAATTCATAATTTTCTTCTCTTAAAATTCCATCTCAGGTAATATTGCAAATTATCTACAGCTTTTGGAAGTTGAATCGATGTACCTACCCGTCCCAGTGAATTTCATTTTTATAGGATTTGAAGGGAAGGGGAACCAAGGTATCTAAATCATACCCTTTTTGTTCTTTCAAGTGCTTAACTACTGGTTTGAGTTTAAGACTTTGTGATGTTCATTGGCTTCTTAATCCATTGTTCATTTTCAGAATTTAAGCTAAATGCCGAAGAACTTGAGCGCTGGTTTACAAAAATTGATCACATTTTTGAACACACAAGAGTTCCACAGATTGGGGAAGCACTGACCCAATTTTACAAGATCAGCATAGATAAAGAACAACGCCACCAGCTTCCTATTATCAGTCACATTAACTATAAGTATGTTTCTCTTAAGTTTAAATTGCTATCTTATTTCAAGATTCCAGGAATTATGCATTGCAAATTGGAAGTTTGCAAATCTCCTTCCTTTTCCCATTGGGGTTTAATGTTATTGCGGACACTGTAGTTTTTCAGTTCATGCCATTCAAATGGGCGAAAAAGTCACTTCTGCATTTCAGCATGCCATTGATGTACTAGCTCGGAAGGATGATGTTTCAGATACCAGGTAAAGTATCCTTAGCTCAGTTGATTCAATACTGTATATTGGATATGCTGGTAGAAATCACAGTCCATGTTTTTTATAGATAAATAATCAGGAATGCTGGCCACCGTGTTTTTATTTGTAAATAATCGGATTGGTGGTGGTGGTAACCTAGGTATCTGTGCAAAGAGTATTGAAAATAGAAAAAAGTTTTACTTTGTCAAATTTCGAAATATATGGATCGAAATTCTAGTACTTTTAGCATTACTCACCCAGTGAATGGTGGTTAGCACTGAAACTATGATGTTTTTTTCCCACACTAATTTTGCCTTAGTTATGGATGAGCTAAGTAGACATATTTAGTATGATATTCAGTGGTGTATGTTGTTTGGAGATGATATTGTCTTAGTGGATGAAACTGCAAGGGTGGTTAATGCTAAATTAAAAATTTGGGGAGAAGCTTTGGAGTCCAAAACCCTATTTCTAATCATTATCCTATTTCTCTCCAATCATTACGCTCATTTTTTTCTCTCTCTCTCTCCAATCATTACTCCTATTTTCAATCATTATTCTATTTCTCTTTACACTCGTTACCTATAAATCCAAATTCAAAATCCCAAAACAAACAAGGTCCAAAGGATTTAGGATTAGTGGGAGTAAAACTGAGTATATGCACGGTAAGTTTAGTGACAATAGAAGTGACCAGATAGAAGAAGTGAGGATTTAGGATTAGGAGATACCAAAAAGTGAGCATTTTAGGTATTTAGGTTCAATTTTTAGCATGGAGAGATTACAGACGATGTAACCCACAAGATCTAAGTTGGGTGGCTCAAGTGGAGAGCCGCTTCTGGTGTATTGTGTGATAACAAATTGAAAGGTAAATTTTATAAAATTTTATAGAACTGCTATCCGACCAGCGATACTATATGGGATGGAGTGTTGGTCTATCAAGAAGCAACAAGTGAGTAAGATGATCGTAGCTGAAATGAGGATGTTGAGGTGGATGTGTGGTAAGTCTATGAGTGATAGAATTAGAAGACGAAACTATTTGTGAGACGGTAGGAGTTGTACCTATACAACATAAGTTGAGAGAAAATAGATAAAGTGGTTTGGACATATTTACCGTATATCTGCTGATGTAGTAGTCAAGAAGAGTGACATGATAGTAGTGGATAATCGGGCTAGGGGAAGAGGAAGACCTAATCTGACTTTGCATACCATGATATGGAAGGACTTGGGTTTACTAAATCTACGTGAAGAGGTAGCCCTAGACAAATCTCAATGGAAAAAGATGATTTATATAGCCAACCCCAATTGATTGGGACACAAGGCTCGGCTTGGTTTGGTAATCTTGGCACTTAAAACAATTCTTGGCTTCCTCCTTGCACTCAAATGATTTAATTGTTTTTTAAGGGATGATGCTTGGAAGGGTGATGATGCATTTAAGTGTGGGAGTCCGGGGAACTTTTGAAGCTTTTTATTTCCTGGGCTTTTTCTGGATAGATAATAAAATCAAAAGGTGCGAAGGAGGCACCTCCCAAATACAGATTGAGTCTAAGTTCTATGGGGCATAGAGTGAGAAGGATAGCTTTGGTGGGGTCAACAAGTTACTAACTTTTTTTTTCAAACAATGAATAAGCTCTAAAATTGTCTTCTAAACCTCTGTGCAAAATTCTACAGAATTGTGTGCTTCTAACTCAACGGACGACATGTTTCAGATGGACGAAATGGGAGTAACCCCTTTGGCTGAAGCAAGCAATCTAGCTAGAATTGTTAAAGGACTCCTAAATAATACAAGCTTCCCGGTTAGAAGTGTCAAATGCTGTTCTGGATCAGTTGAGGGGAACAACCCATTGATAACTGCCTTAATCTGGTCTTAAGTGGTAAATATCGTATTTATATATAGCAATGATGGTTGGTACCTGATAAATGAAAATACACAGTAGTTGAAAAAGTTGACAAAGAACCCTGAAGTCCATGAACTTAAACTTTTGGGATCATGCAGAACAAATGCCCTGTTTGATGTGATATCAAATCGCTCGAGGAATTTCAACACATCGTTCTCCCCCACCACAATTTCATTAGAAGGAAACCTAGCTATGTGTGTGAGAATTCAATATAGCATGTAATTCTTTCTCCTAAATGTCTCTTGAAACATCAAAAAAAAAAAAAAAAAAAACTTTTTACCCAATGTACTTGTCACTTTAGCGTGTAATACGAGTTATTAAATTTTCTTATATTTGTACTCAAACAACGTCTTGCACTGAGTATCATTATCATTGAACACGCTTCAATCTACATAACGCAAAGCTTGAATCTTGTGTGAGTTTCTTTTTTTGTTTCTTTCTCCCCTGTTGCTTCCGAAGATATTCTACTGTTTCATTCTATGACAGAGTTTTGCTGAAGTTTTGCCTTAATTCAACCATCACTTGGTTTGTATTTGAAGGGATGATAAAGCTGGTCTTTGGCAAGTTGATGTGGGCATGATGGATGTTATCATCACCAGCCTTGTTGAGTATTTACAGCTTGAAAATGCTTATAACATCTTTATTCTGAATCCCAAGCGCAACATGAAAATGGAGAAATATGGATATCGGTGAGTATTTTGATTATGAATCTGAAACTACGTGTAAATTCATTTACGTTTTAAGAACTTCAGAGCTTACTCGCTCAGCATCTCTTACAACCAGGCTGAAAGAAAGGTATCTTCATGATGCTGATCCCACATGCGAGAGAGGGAGAAGGCTCTTTACAATTTTTAATTTGTGCATTAATTCTCCCCTTCCTCACCTG